GCGCGATTGCTGGATCCAACTTACCAACTGCGCCCAGACACCGACTAACGGAGAAGGTCCCCCAATCATTCGTGTTCTGCTGAACTTTCCTCACCTTGTGTACCCGTCGGTAGGGCGGGATCTTGCTCTCTGGTAACTTCCGAAGAGCCCAAGTGGTGAAGCTTGAGTGTCTTGGCGAGACGTAGGGATGGGGTGGAGCAGCAGTGGTAATATCTTCACGCTGCGTCCGTGGTTAGTTCTGGATCCTAAGCGAATATTCGAGCTTAAGTGGATCCAGGGCCTAGATCGTGGATCTGGCCGCAGGGTTGCCTTGCGGGTGTGTCCCTTGCCTTTGCGTTTCCTTTACGTCTTACTTGCCGCCTCCTGTGACGGGATCTTGAGAGTAAAGAGCCTCTAGGGTGTAACCGACCAAGTAGTAAACTCGGTTAACCTGTCGGATCTGCACGTGTATAGGAAAGCTCACTAGGTTGTAGGATCTGGCCAATGTATTATTCGGTTATCACTACCAACACTAGCTTTGCAATTCCCAACCTCCGCCTTGCTCGTACGGCCAATGTAGTTCTGATTATTGAGGGCAGGAAGGCACTTGTGTGATACTGTGCAAATTGAGTTCTGTATTGATACTTAAGCCTATATCTGCCTGGATTTCTACCTTCTATGTCGTTTTACTTGTTAAATCCCTTACCAGGCTCGGCTGCATGTCCCTTCTTCCCTTGACCCATCATCCCAGCTGTATTATCTTCAGATCCACCGGATCCATGGCGTAATCATTATGGTTACCCTATTATGGGTACACTCATCAGGATCCAGGTCGCTTGGATCCACTTCACTTGAAAGTGTACACTCGTCGTGGACCTGAGCTCTCCACTCATCCAACATCATCTCGCAACCGTCTGTGATCTCCACTGTCCCACGAAAGCTCTAGATCCACTGCATCCATCATACCTATACCCTGGATCCAGGTCCCTTAAGGCGGGATCCTCCCTCCTTGGATCCTAACTCGAAAGCATGGGATCCGGGTCACCTCGTGGTGGATCTTGACTCCTCGTTAGCCGTGGCTACTAGATCCACCTTTAGAGGGCACCTACCATCCTTCCTTCATAGGATCCACACCCGATCCACTCTTGTATAGTATATCCCATATCCATTTAGGTGAATCCAAGTAAGGGTGGATCCGAGGTAAGTCTTGGTGGATCTTGCCTTCTCGTACATCGCTCATACCAGATCCATCGTCACTTCATACGGGGCGCTGCTCGTCATGGCTAATCCACCACCGGCAACTTGCATCCGTGCCAGCCAACCCAAATCCTTTCTAATCACTTGAAATTGTCATTGATTCGGGATAGTGACCCCGCGTCAGGCCCATTCTCTTATTTCTGAGAAAGCACTTTACCACATCGCTTGATATGCTCATTCGTGAGCACCTTCACCACATCTTGCGTTCGCAGCTCTGCATTGCTCATCTCCAAGTTCAGCACGACGTTCTCGTAGCTCTTGGGCAGACTGCGCAGCAAGCAGATCGCCACATCCTCGTCCTCCATCTTGGCGCCGATACTGCTAAGCTTGGCGCTGATGTTGAGGACCTCGTTGCAATGGTGAAGGATGTTTCCGCCTTCTGCCATCTCCATGCTGAAGAGCTGGCGCTTGAGGTAGATGCGTCCAGCCTTCTGCGATCCACCGTAAAGGGTACGCAAGCGCGCCCACGCGACCCAGGCTTCCTCGTAGTCGTCGACAACATGATGGTAGTCTGCGTCCATGTGGAGGAGCATGAGACCGAAGGCGACGTTGCTCGACTTGACATACTCGTCCTTGGCCCTGGAGTCCGTGAACGTGGGCGTCGTCTCGCGGCTCACCACATTCCACACCGACTTGGTCAGGAACACGCCACGCATGTAACGGCTCCACGTGGCGTAGTTCTCGCCGTTGAACTTGTCGATGGATATCTTGGACTCTTGCACAGAAGACATCGTACTTGGGCTCATAACCTGAAGAAGGTGATGGTTGGATCTTGTGTCTTGCGAGGGGAGGACTGCCGAAGCTTGGGGCGAGGAGGCCGAGGCGAGGGAAGTCACTTGAGGGGCATAATGGAAATTCAGAAGTGATTGATTGATAAGAGCTTACACTGTCTTCTCTACCTAGTTTGCATCCAATCATTTGGTGCATCCAATCACCAACCCTCTGTACTCGTCCAATCATCCTACTCGTCTAATCATCGGTGGCGTAAACATCCTACCGTAATCATCGCGGGATCGTATTGGATTACCTGCAACATGGCGCGAAGGTTTCTTCGTAGTCAATGCCGTACTTCTGCGAAAATCCCTTGGCCACGAGTCGTGCCTTGAACCGCTCGATCTCTCCCGCTTGGTTCTCCTTGATGCGAAACACCCAACGACAACTGATTGCCTTTCGACCTTGGGGCAATGGCACCAACGACCATGTCTTGTTCTTGCGAAGAGAGTCGACTTCTGAGTTGCACGCTTCCTTCCACTTGGCCGCGTTGCTGGATTCCATCGCCGACTTGAACGTAGTCGGCATTTCTCCCACTGAATCCACAACGTAGGCCGCTTCGAAATCTTCTTCTCGACCACTTGCGACCGCTGACATCTCCTCCAGCGTCTGCGGCCGACTCTGTCGCTTGCTCCGCGGGATCTCTACCGGTTCCTCCAACGACTGCGTTCGCTGGTGTCGCTTGCTACCGGGCTCAAATTCTTGACGCGGCGCAGTGTCTCCCATCGTCTCATCCTCGGACGATGCTTCTTGATCCGTAACTTCTTCTTCTTGAAGTTCCACGATGTCATCTTCAACGTGGCAGCGTCTCCCTCCGTCGAAGACGTCTTCCATGAACTGCGCATCGCGGCTCACTAGCACACGACCGCTCTTGATCTCTTCGAAACGATACGCTTTCTATTGAGGGTTGCTGGTCTTGGTACTGTGTACCAGTTGTACCCATTAACCGGTCAACCTGAACCGGTCCAATACGATCCCGCTGTGATTATGGTACGTTGTTTATGCC